CAGAGCAGGGGAGGAAAAAGGAACTGCAAAGGGAGAGGGGGGGGGGGGGGAGGGGGAAGGAGAAGGGGAGTGGTAGGAGCGGGGCGGAGAGGAAGGAGAGGAAGGAAGAGGAAGGAGAGGGAGAAAGGAAGGAACCTTTAGTTTGACTCGTATAGAGAAATCTCTTGTATCTCCTCGCTTGACCTGCCTCGAGCCCATCGGAACCTCAAGGCGGAAGGATGGGCGGGAGATCGTCGCCTCCTCCAGCCACTCCTCATAGCTCATCCGCTGATAGTCCACCTGCCATGGAGACAAGGAGGGAGGAGAAAGGAGGAAGGCAGGACGGGAGGAGGGGGAAGGAGGGCAGGAGGGGGAAGGTAGGCAGGAGGAGAGAAGGGGGGAGGGAAGTATGTGGCAGCAGGGAGCAAGGGAGAGAGAAGAGGAGGAGAAACAAGTCAATCTCCCGAAGCACAAGAGGCCAGCAGCGTTACAGGCGGCTGCTCCCTCCTCTCGAGGAGGTTCAGGAAGGAGGAGAACGGATCGGCAGCGCTGAGGAGAGGAGGAGGGAGGGGAGCGTCGCCCTGCCTCTCCTCCCCCGCCACTCCCTGCATCCTCTTCTGCACAAACTTGGTCGGCGATCTTGTCATGTACTTCATCTCTTTCTGACTCTCAGCCGCCGCGAGCTTCTGCTGCAGTTGCGCAGCCCTCCTCTGCGCCGCCTTCCTCCTCTGCTCGCCCTCCACGCTCCCATCCCCCTCCTTCAGCCTCCTCGCTGCCCGCAGCAGCGTCTTCTCGCTGCTCGGCCGGTACCAAGTCGACTCTCGTGTCTTGACATTCCAGAAGTACGTCCTTCCTGTAGCTCCATCTACTGCAGTCCTCCAGTCCTCCGGCAGCCCCTCCTCCTCCGACCGCTCCTCCTCTACTCCTGCTTCCCTCGACCCGACCGATAGGGCAGCATTCCTCTGTCTCCCCTCCTCTGCCCACCTCCCAATATGCCCCCACCTCGTCCTCGCACACACGGCGTGCGGGGGAGCACGTCTAGCAGTGAGGGAGGGGGAGAAGTGGAATGAGAGGGAAGTTGTCAGGAAGCATGAGAGGAGGAGGAGGGAGGCAGAGACACTACGAGGAGGAGGAGCAGGAAGAGGATACATCATTCCTGTAGATCGCTGTTCTTGGCTTTCACGTCATCGATCCAGGCGGAGGTCCTGGATGGAGAACAACAAAGTGAGGGAGAGAAAATGAAGGGGATAACTTGACTTGCGCGGGAGGGAAGGAGGTGCTAGGGGCTGTGGTGACAGTGTTCGTGTTGATGTTGTTGTGGTTGTAGTGAGGACGAGGAGGATGGGCACGAGGTGGGGGTGGGGGGGGGGGTCGATGTTGAGGGTGATGGGATTCTGCGGTGAAGCAGGCTCATATACGCTGGAGTGAGGAGGAGCGAGGAAGACTGGTAAGGCAGCAGTAGGAAAGGTGTTGGTGGTGAGGGAAGTGTGCTGAGAGAGGCATGGGGGGTCCCAACGATTCAACAGGATTGAGGAGAGGGGAGGGAGGGAAAGAAGGAGAGAGGATGGGGTGGGAAGCGCTAGGATAAGACTTGGCAGGAAAGAAGGCTAGTTGTTTTTGTGACCACGCTGCTCAGACGTCTATGTGCTGATCGCCGAGAGGTTGAAGCTAAAGGATGGAAGACGAGGCGAAGAAGAAACTGGACGAAGGGAAGAAGAAGCTGGAAGCCTTCCGGAAGAAGAAGGAGGCAGCAGAGCTTGCTAAGAAAGCTGCAGCCAAAGCCCAGGGAGATACCGGCGATGCTGCTACAGACAAGGGTGGCAGCGATGATGCTAAGGTTCGTTCACGCAGCAGGAGAGAGATCAGTGGGAGAGTGCGCTGAAGGCTCGCACAGAAGAAGTCGCCTCCCTCGAAGCCTCGCTCAATGCAGCCATGGAAGCGCAGGCTGCGGCCATGCAGAAACTGGGCGATGAGACAGAAAAAGCGCAGGCCGCCAAGAAGAAGGAGCAGGAGGCGATGCAGCAGGTCGAGCGGATGCAGCAACAGATCCTGTCGCTCATGAGCGCCATGGAGGAGCAGGGAGGTGGACACAACGCAGAGAACGAGGAGGAGAGGCGAAGGGTGGAAGAGGAGAACGCGAGCTTGAAAGAGTCGCTGGTCCTGGCTGAGGGGCAACTGCAGAGCATGAAAGGGCTGCTGATGGAAGCAGACAAGGGAAGGAAGGAGATGGAGAGCAGGCTGGCAGAGTTGTCTGCTGCTGCTGCAGTAGGAGGAGGAGGGAGCGAGGTCGAAGCGCTGAAAGAGTCCTTGTTCCTGGCAGAGGAGCAGCTGAAGGCGATGAAGGCGCTGATGATGGAGAGCGACGCCGGGAAGAGAGAGTTGGAGGAAAAGCTCAAGGAAGCGATGGAGCTCAACCAGCAGCTGCAGCAGTCTCAGTCTGCCTCGTCCGATCGGCAGCTGGAGGAGAGCAGGAAGATGAGCCAAGAGTTGAGCCAGATGAAGGGAGAAGTGGAGCTGCTGAGCAGCAAGTGCGAGGCCATAAAGGAGGAGAAGAAATCGCTGCAAGAAATGCTCCTCAAGTCGCAGGCAGAGGCTGCAAGGATGGAGCAAGCCGTGTCTGCCATGTCGGCGAATTCTTCGCAGCAGCAGGATGTGGAGAAGGAGATCGGGATGCTCGAGTCGAAGCTCAAGGAGACGGAGGTGAAGCTGGAGCAGGCGACATCGCGGCTGAGCGAGAGGGACGAAGAGTTTAAGGATGCGGAGCAAGACCTGGAGAGCTTGCGGGAGCAGCTGTCGGCAGCCAACCAGGAACGACGTGAGCTGCAGACGAAGTTGATCGAGCGAGAGGCGAAGTTGCAGGTGTTAGAGAGGAGCCGGGTTGAAGACGCCGAGCATGCCGACGAAGCAAGCAGAGCAGCTATGAAGCACATGGAAGAAGAGCTGGTGAAGACAAGGACCTTGCTCGGGGAGGAGGAGAGGGCGAGGGGGGAAGCGAACGAGTTGATCGAAGGCTACAAGTCTGCGATGAAGGAGAAGGAGGAGGAGCTGGAGGAGCTGAAGAGTTTGTGCTCGTCTCTGAGGTCGGAGTCTGACCAGAAGGAGAAGTTGATGTCGAAATTCTCGGAGCTGGATG